CCTCGCCCCCCCCGCTGCTCACCCCACCCCGCACCCCACCCCGCAACCCCGCAACCCCGCCGCCCCAGATTGAGGGCGACGAGGAGTGCAAGAAGGCGCTGGACTGGGTGCGGGAGATGTACGCCTTCTCGGTGGCGGCGGCGCTGGAGAAGATACCGCTGGACATGCACGTGAGCGGTGGGGGTGGTGCATGTGTGTGTGGTGGTGGCGGTGGCGGTGGCGGCGGTGGTGGCCGTGGCGGTGGTGGTGGACGCGTGTGTGGAGGGGAGGCTGCGCTGGTAGTGACGGCACCACTGCTGCTGCTGCGCTTCCCTGCCCACCACCCCCAACCCCGGCGCTCTGAGCATGCCGCCTGCCCGCCTGCCCGCACCGCGCCGAGCGGTGCACGCTGTGGGGTGTGGGGTGTACGAACCTGCCCGCCCGCCCGCCCGCGCTTCTCCTGCCCTGGCGCCCGCCCGTGCAGGAGCCTCCGGACAGCGTGACGATGATCCAGCCGCCCGCCGACGCACGCCTGGGCAAGGCGCACCTGGTGGGTGTGCGCCGCCGCGTGCGGCCCAGCCCAGCCCAGGCCACGCCGCCCGCCTGCCCGCCCGCCTGCCCGCCTGCGCCGCGTGCCTCTTGCCGCTGAGCCCGCCTGGTCCGTGCCGCTGCCCTGGCACCTGGCATGAGCACCACGCCGCCGTCACCCCGCCACACCATGCCTGCCTGCCTGCCTGCCCGCCACCCACCCGACGCCAACAGATGCATTACACCTGGGGCGCCATCTTCAACGCTCCCAACGGGACCAAGGAGTGGGAATTTGACAAGCGCTTCTACACAGAGCCCAAGCACGAGGAGGAGGTGGGTGCCTCGCAGGGGGTAGCGCGGCGGCGGCGGTGGCGGTGGTGTGTGGGGGTGGGTGATGGGGTGTGGTTCGTGGTGGCCGTGTGTGCCTGTGTGTCACGGGAGGCGGGGTGAAGGACGGGAGGCATGCGGGAGGGAGCGGCGAATGAGCTTGCTGGCTGACTCTGCAGCAGCATGCGCCAGCGCTGCCTGGCGCCACGGCTCGCCCTCCCCCTCCCTCCCTCGCGCCGGCCCTGCCCACCCCTTGCCCACGGGTGGCGTGCCCTCCCCACCTGCCTGCCTGCCTGCCCCCTGCCCTGCCCCACCCCCTCTCTCCCCCGCCCCCCTTCCTGCAGCTGCCCAAGATCCCGCCGCCGCCGCCGTTCCGGGAGGGGTGGAAGCTGCAGGACGGGCTGCCGGTCACCCGGGATCTGTATGACGTCATCGCCCAGATGATCGACACCATGAACCGAGGCATAGACGTCATCAAGGCACGTGCACGCCCCCTTTGTCTCTGCCGCTGCCTCAGCTGGGCAGGCGCCGTGCCGCGCCGCCCCCCCCTGGCTGCCCGGCTGGGCTGGGCGGAGGCCGGCAGGCAGGCGCGGCGTGGGGCGTGTGGGCGTGTGCACAGGCACAGGCCGCCAGGGCATGGGTGGCGGGAGTGGGCCGAGCTGCCGCGCTGGCTGGCCGCACTGACCCCGCTCCCCCGACGGCGCCGTGGCTGCAGGCTGAGGGGCTGGCATGATGGAGTGGCGGCGCTGGGCGGGCACCCGCCACCGTGCGACCTGCTGCCCGCCCGACTGCCTGCCTGCCTTGGCGTCTGCCAGCCAGCTGCCTTACCTGCTTTCCTTGCTTGCTCCCTTGCCTGCGCTGCCCGCTGCCCTCCCTCCGTCCTTTCCTCCAAACTGTTTCCTCTCGGCGCTCCTCTTCCCCCACGTTTCCTCTGCTTGGCGCACTTGCTCATGTGATGACTGCGCCCTCCCGCCCTCCCATCCCCCTGCTGGGTTGTTCGAGGCAGCGCATTTGCACAGCAGAACAGCATCGACATTCCATAACCTGCTTTGCAAACGGTTGTGGCCAGCAAATGAGCTACGGGGTGACAGGCGGCGGCACCGGTACTGCGGAAGGCAGAAAAATGTGCAAGGGGAGGGCGGCAGCCTGCGCATGCGGGGCGCCCGCCTTGACGCAACAGTGGTCACAGTTTGGTCCAACTGGCTGTCGGCAGAAAGGGCAGGAAAGGGGTCCACAAACGACAGCAGGAGCACCAAACGGGGGCTGCAGACTGTGGGCAGGCGGCGTGCGGAGCGGTGAGGTGCGGCTCCATGCGGGTCGAGAGCAGCGGCGGCTGGGGCCATCATGCCAATGGCTGCAGCGCTGGGGCGGGCACCGGTCCCCTCCACCCTGGTGGTGGGCACGCCCAGCCGCCGCCGCGGCAGGCCGCTGCAGGGGATCAGCAGGCGATTATGGCGGGCAGGCCCCGCCGCCGTCGCGGCAGGCGGCTGCAGGGCCTCAGGAGGCGATGGTGGAATCGGCGCGCAGCTCCTCGGCGATGCGTATCGCCTGCTCCCGCGTGCCCAGCAGCCCGATCTTCTCCTCAGTCACCACATACAGCGGGATGTCCTTGAGCACCTGCGCGGCGCATGGGGGAGGGACACGGGGAGAAGGTGGGCAGGGAGGGCAGGTGGGCAAGGTAACAAAACAGGGCAGGCGCGAAGCAAGCGAGCGGGAGGTGCAAGTCAGGGCTGCGCCCCTCGGTTGCTGCGCCTGCGCTGCCCCGCAGCCCGCGTGCCTTGTCGTGGAAGCGCGAGGCGCGCCACAGGAAGGCCTCCAGCACGCCGCCAGCACTCACCCGCTCCATCACCTGCGGGCAGCAGCAGGAGGAGGCAGGCGCCCGGGGTAGATCAGCCGGGGTCGGCCGGCTGGCGGGCGTGGGCGCAAGGGGAAGGCGGCGAGCGCAGCACCAGCGCAGGCGTGCCGACGGCCTGCACGCTGCCGTGCGCCCTGCCGCGGCCGCGCTCCAGAGGCCCCGCCCCTGCCCGCGCCGCCCAGCGCCGCCCAGCCAGCCACCCGGCCAGCCAGCCCCAGCCCCACCTTTGGGAAGATGCCTCCGCAGATGTAGACGCCGCCGCTGGCCAGGCTGCGGAGCGCCATGTGTCCCGCCTCGGCCCCCACGATGGACAGAAACACGTCCAGCGACTCCACTGCAGGGAGGGAGCGGGCAGGTGGGTGGGCAGGCGGGCAGGCAGCGGCGGGTGTGGAGGGGTCAGCCAGGGGCGGCGGTGGAGGTGGCAGCAGCGGCAGGATGGCAGCCAGCGGGATGGCCAGCAAGGGTGGCAGCAGCAGCAGCAGGTCGATATGGCGTGTCATCGCATGTCGTTGCCACAAAGGGGGGCGGAGAGCGGCGCCAGGTCTGGAAGCAGGCTGGCAGCCACAAGCGCCGCGGC